AACAACGCTGTGTTTCAACATATGTATTGTTAACGACATGCATACTGACTGTGACTGCAATACGTGTAGGCAAACTCAATAAAGCATACAGTGTATGTTGCGGCTGGCTAATCACAAAGCCAATTTCGTTGAGTTCTTTAACTGCAAATCCTGTGTACTAGACAAATCCTCATCTGCACGTTCTGTCAACGGAACTTTAAACTACTCTAGAATTTTAATTTCAGCATCACCAGCAGTGCAAGGAAAATCATCATCATCATCATGAAATGGTGCAGCAGTTTCAGCAGCAACTCCAATGGAAACTCCAGCAGTATCATCTGGCAAGAGAATGGTGCAAAGAGATGATATCAGAACATGTGATACAAAGATCTACGTGTTGATGAGCAATTCTTAAAGGGGGGTTGCAGTGGCAAAAGTTTACCTGCAGTAGAAGGTGCAGAAGATGGTTGCCAGTTATTGTGTAATAGTTTGTCAGCAGCAGCACAATCTTGAAATTGAACAAAATGTAAGGCAGAGATGTCCTGGGCTTACGCTTTGTCATGGTGACAGAGGGGTACAAGGATGCTGTAGCCTTGCTATTTAGCTGCAAATGCTCCTCAACCATTAACCGTATGAGTACCTCTTACTAGCAGTCAACAGGTTCGGCGCCAATATCCTGGGCCGAGCCTGGGACACGGTGCTGCTCCTGGACTCCGCCATTGTACAATAATCTTGTCGGGAATCTTGTCAACTAAGAAGTGGAAGAGACGGGCCCGCCATAATCCGAGGCTTAAGAAAATCTTTGAGGGGTGTCGAAAATTGGCCTACCGGCCTACCGGCCAAACTTCTCCACGTACTATGATGTCCATTTTATGCTGCATATTGTAGGCAAGTTTGGTCATGAGACATCTGATTGTTGTTATTGGATTCCTGAAGGCTCAGATATAACAAAATCAATTGAAGATCCATAGTTTGTGCTTATATGCGCTGTACATATAGATTTATTGAGATTTGTCTGCTGCATGGTCATACCTACCAGTAAATTACGAGCCCTGGTTTATAGAAAATACTGGAGGTAGCCGCCGTCGTGCTGGATGCCGCCAGTCGTAAGTAGTTACAATCGGACGGCTCTAGCGTTAACTCAAACCGGCAGCCTACGTCACGGCCAATTTGCTGGTGGAGCAATGATGACAGTCCGATACGACTCCTTTCTCCACTTTCAGCGGCCGATAGTTGGCCTTAGTATTTCCTTGGAACATCGCCGGCAACTCTCAGAGCGAACAGTTGACCGCAGAGACAGTCTCTTAATATCTAATTCCAACCAAGTGGACACCCCTGCCCCCTCTCATATTTGCATGTTATGTAGCTCGCTACTTGGTTCCATTTTAGAGGCAAATACCTATTTCCGTGAGGATTTTCCGAGGTATTCCCACAGTGCGACTCCTACTCCGACCTCCGAGTAGCTAAAGTATAGATAATTTCTGAAAACCGTCAATCGACTGTCGCGCGACCTACGCAAATTCGGTCCAAGCGAGGTGATCCGTAACGAATTCACGGTCGGACCGAGGTCCGTGAGTTGCGCCATAGCTGTCCCGTGCAATGAAATGGACAATGTGGTCGGTATGGAGGCAGTCAAGCGTGGGGGACGGTGTGAGATTGAGACCGTGGGGCGACATATGGCATTCCTTGCGAGGGAACCGGTCCGGGGGAACCAGGCGTGCGCCACGACGAAGAGGCCGGTAAGAGCAAAAAACGTGGTGGAAAGATGGTGAAGGTTGTGGAGATCGCCCTAGACGAGTCGGACAATGAGTCAAACGAGAGCGGAGCACTTTAAACTTGGCGAAAATGGAGCAGGGCGACCTTGTGGAAGGGGTCGGACTGAAACCGAGTGCGTTCAGGGCGCTTAAATCCTCGGTGTGTGAGCCCTGCATTATTGAGAAGCAAACTAGGCTCCCCTTCTCGGTATTCCGACTCGGTGAGCACGGAGCCCCTTGAGCTAGTCCACATGGACGTTTGCAGGCCTACGCCGGTAGCCTCGGTAGGAGGACGCCGGTACTTCGCCACGTTCTTGGATGACTACAGCAAACTCTCGGTTGTAGTCCCCATGAAGCAGAAGAGCGAGGTGGCCACGGTCACTGAGCACGTGGTCAACCGGTTGAAGTTGCAAACCAGGAAGAAGCTCAAGTCGGTGCGGACGGATCGGGGCAAGGAGTACGTCAACAAGGCCTTTACATACGTTTTCGGGGGTAAGGGGACGGTACACGAGAAAACCGCCCCCTATAGCGCCGAGCAGAATGGGTCGGCAGAAAGGCTTAACCGGGATTTGGAGGAGAAGACCCGGGCGATGCTTGAGGACTCGGGATTGGCCAAAGAGTTGTGTTAGAAGTATTTGCGC